GCTGGCCGCAGTACTGCAGCAGCGTCGACGCAGTCGTCTTTGTCGTGGATGCGACCGGCCGCCGTAGCCTCGGTGCGGCGCGGGACGCATTGCACGCGGCGTTTGCCGTCGCCCGTCCATCTCGATGCCTCATCGTGGCCAACAAGATCGACCAGCCCGACTGTGTCGATGCGTTGGAGCTGCTCGAGATCCTCCGACCGGGCGATGTATTTGGCACGTCGTGGAGCTACTGCGCGGTGAGCGCAACGCAAGGCGACGGCCTGCGGCAGTGTCTCGCCTGGCTCGCCCACGAGCCTCTCGACGACGGCGCGCTGCTCCAGATGCAAGACGACGATGATGACAACGACGCCAATGAAGAGGAGGCGCGGGAGGATTGGATCTGGATTGGATCTGCCACCCACTTGCCCGGGTCGCTGGAGGTCTACTATACCGACATTCCGCTCTAAGCAGCTTGGATAAGACTGAGACTTATGTTTCTGGTGAGCAGCTTCGAAATGGAAGTGGCAAGCACGACGTGAAGCGACACGTGCATTCTCGACACTGTGCGCCGAGATCTCCGCTTCGATTCAGCCGACGATGTGTCGGCGCCGACCGAGGATTTTCGCAGAGAAGACAAAGAACGGGTGGGCGGAACGTGGCTGCCAACGCCAGGAACTCGTATTGCGACCTGCTCGATTGGCCAGGATTAGCTCAAAAGAACCAGAAGTCCTGTGGCATGTATGGTGAGGAAGGGCGGTTCAACACTCGGCTGCAGATTGGTGGGTATTGTGGCTTCCTCTTCCTTCGAAGGTAGTAGTACTTCGGGTTCGAATCGCGTACTATGATCGAAGACGGTGAATTCATGGCTGACGAGAAGCTCTGCGAAGATGCCATGTCCCTGCTTCAGGTGGCGGTTGTACGCGGAGTATCTGGCGATGTGGGCGCTTGACGACGGCTGTGTCAGCAGTTGATCTTTTGAGGTGGGCCTTCATGATTGGCTGAAGCAAGCAGCCAATCCCCGACGAGGCATTTCGACACGGCAATCGGTGATTGGATCCACGGCGCAGGATCGTGGAGGCGTTGGATTGGCGCTTTGTAGAGTGCCATGGCGCCAAGAAAGCATATCGGCGATGGTCAGATACCAAACACCACTGTCAGATAGCAACAGCACATCATGGGCAACCTTTACGCCAAGCTTCGCCACGTCATGGATCGCTTCGCGGGGACAAAGCGCCGCATCATTATGCTCGGCCTCGACGCGGCAGGCAAGACCACGATTCTGTATCGCCTCAAGCTCAACGAAACCATGCACACGCTGCCAACGATCGGCTTCAACGTCGAGACGTTCACATACAAGAACGTCGAGTTCACAGCGTGGGACATTGGCGGTCAAGACAAGCTGCGCGCGCTGTGGAAGTACTACTACCAAAATACGGACGCTATCATTTTCGTGGTCGACGCCACCGACCGTCACCGGATCGATATTGCCGCCCACGAGCTCGCACGCATGCTCCAAGAAGATGAGCTTCGCGATGCAAAGCTACTTGTGTTTGCCAACAAGCAAGATTTGCCGGGTGCCATGTCGGCCGGCGATGTCGCACGCCACTTGAAGCTGGACCAAGCGACCAAGAACCCGACGTTTGTGCAGCCGTGCTCGGCCGTTGGTGGCACAGGGCTCTATGAAGGCCTCGACTGGGTGAGCAAAGTGCTTACCCAGCAGCAGTAGCCTCCTTATTCATCTAGTTTTTAGTTGTATTGCATTCCAATTACATTTACCTCGAGCATTTTGATTGGCTTTGATCGAGGGACGTATGTTGTTCGTCCAAAGTGATATGTACAACTTGTATGCAGGTCTAGAAGCGTCGTTTGTGGGTGTTGAAGAAAAGCCAACACTATGGATAGCACCGTGGAAGGCGTCTAGAAGCTGTATGTTTCTTGTGGCCATGGACGGGCTCAAAGAGGCGGGCCGCCACGTGGGATCAACGCAACGGAGTGGATTGGCCTACTAGAAAATAGAAGCACCAATCAAACGCGTTCTTTTATGCACGACGCGGCCGGATTGGCTACTTGAAGATCGCGCGCCAAACGAGAGCGAAACATGCTCCCAAAAGGCGGCCCCCGGCACCACGGCCGTCGATATCGAAGCGCCGCCGTTTCCTTCGAACGCTCTGACGACAACAAAGCCGCAGTCGCCAGCGCTGGCGAACGCTGTCGTGGCCATCAAGCGTTTCTAGAACGAGCGGCTTAAACCGCTAGAGCGAGATGGCGGATCGTTTTGAACCATCATTCTTGCCCATTGTATTTGGATCGCGTCGGGAGAGATTAAACGACGTGCTTGTACATGTCTATGCTCGACAGGGACCTTCATTGAAAACAAGCATCACGGTCGCGCCCGATAATCAACCTGCGGTTCTCGCGACTTATCTTTGGTCGAGTTGATTCAGGTACTACTCCGTCCTGGACTAGTCCACCGCATATGTTCTCGTTCAGAAAGCACCTCTAACAGGTCGAGCCTCTTCCGTCCCACGCTCTACAGCACCCAGCATA